CCACTACTTTTTATACAAGAAATAAAATTAATTTTACGACCTTTTTTTTTTGCTTTATTGTGAAACAAAATTTGGGATTTTTATCATGTAAAAAATTACTTTATATATATCAATCTTTCTTCAATTTCAAGTACTAATTTATCAATGTCCAAGTGCAACAATATGTGATTATTTGTCATACTTTATATGCCAAATATGGCAAAATGTGTTCAGATTTAGCATTAACTTTTTCCCTTTTTCTATCAATGATCATCACTAAATTTTACTAAATTTTATATTTAACGATAAAAATTTGGTCGTGAACTTACACGACTCGCAAAGAAAATAATTTTAATGTAAAATTTTTCTATCATTTGTTCGTTAAGTCAATTTCCTCCGGCCAATATGTTCCGTGACCAAATGTCCCCTAGCCTAGACAAATTGTCTACATGTCAAAACGTCCTCCAGGCATATTGGCATATTGCCTCTGGCCAATTTGTCTTTACAAAAAAGTTAGTATACAATCGGTTTTTTTTCGGGGAATTAGATAGATCGTTTATTTTTTTTATGTAATGTATAAATATACACAACTAATTTCATTCTTTTTTCTTTATTGATTTTTTTTTATTTATTTTTAGTTGCAAATTTATCCTAGATTCAGGGATATGGTTATTATCCTAGACCCCATGTATAAATGAATTTTTTTAAAGTACTTATAACGTGACGTCTTTCCAAAATACTGGGGCATCCTTATTGTCCACCAGGGGTGTAGACCCTTATCGTCCAACTCCATGTATAAATAAAGTTATATCACGTGACATAATATCGGTCTACTTATATAACACGTGATTTACACATGTTATCAATATTAATGACATATTCCACTAATTATTTTCTTCTTTTAGCTGAAAAATTTACTGAGAAAAGTACTCGATCCTTGTGCTGCTGCAACATCATCATCTCAAATTCAACGAAAGACACCAAATTTTTTTTTCTCAAAGAAAAGTAAAAAATGGGACGTAAAAATGCCAAAACCCCTCAACACAGTCGTACCCTGAAAAGATTTCATCGTCAAACGATGAAAATATATTTAAGGGATTTCGAAAATAGTGGTGAGTTTTACAAAATTTTATAACCAAGTTTTTTATGCATTAAATTTAGTAACAAATCAATGTAATTATAGTCGACGTAGAAAAACATCGCAAATCGTTTGAGAAAGAAGAGCAAAGGATCATTTCACGAAATGAATTGGGAAGTTACGTATTTAACTTATGTAACAAACTTGATGTAAGTTCTAT